CCCACCCACCCCACACCCACACCCACCCACCCCACACCCACACCCACACCCTCGTTAAAAAAACTCCTCGAACTATCTGATAGTAAGACAGAGCATTTGCCCGGACTGTTACCTTTTGTTCCTGAAATGCCTGTTATTTTAACACAAAATATAGCTACTGAACTGGGTCTTATCAACGGTATCAATAGAATCTTTCGACAGTTAGTCTATCAGAGAGATTCCATGTCAACAGATATTTTATCAGAAACATTTCCGAACAAGACATAATATATTTATCGACCATTATATGCATTAATTGAAATTGCCATATCAAAAATTGAACGCAACCTTGAAGCACTTCAAGCAAAACTTGTTCCCATACCGTTAGTGGAACAGACATTTCGCGCCGACATTGGTGATATTCTTCCAAAAGATAAGAAACCAAAATCAAATCAAAAACAATTTTATCTATTAAGCGACGTGCTCTACCACCTGTACCTGCTTATTCCATTACGACTTATAAGAGTCAAGGTCAAACGTTGAATAAAGTCGTCATTGATCTAAAATTGTCCTATGAAACTGATGACATTGCAGCAGTTTATGTACCTTTGCCGCGTCTAAAACGTTTAATTGATTTAATTATTTTACGACATTTCGATTACAAGGTTTTGCTAATCAAACCAACGAAATCTCAACTCGCCGAAATGGAAAGACCTGATAAATTCTATTTAGAATCACAAATGCGTTTTTCTCAGTGGTTTTAATGCTTTGTCTCTATTGTACAAAATTTCATTCTACACTATTGATATTTATACTTTTATCTATGCAACGTGCATTAGTGAGTTTTTTTATTTCCTGATGCAGTTTTTTTGTTTTGTCTTTTTTATTTACTCTCACATTCTCAACATGTGTTCTGTTCAGTTTGTGGTTTCTTGCTTTATTATTTTCTTGTGTTTCATTATTCTGTTATTTTTATACATTAATGGAATGCTGTTTATTATATTTTTTTTCTATTTGTTCATGTTCGTTATTATCAATAAATGGATTATGCTCGTATGCTACATGCGTTGAAATTATACAACTATTAGTAGAAATATTCTTAGGCAATGTATAAGGTGTATTATAAATCTAAAGGAACGCATTTCATCAAATTATCGTTGCGTCATACTCATTTCATGAGAGCGGTGTAGCACTTAAATTAGGCTTGTCTACAGATAATTCAACTTTCTTTACAAATTTCGCTCGAGAAGAAGCGCTAACCTTGAAGTTATTTGTAAAAAGAAAGATATTTTTTCAACTGTTGGGAAGGTACACAGTTAACTACATTTGATATTTTTATTCATTATTTCTGAAACATAAAATTGCATATACAAAAACTGGCTCATTCAGTCGAGGGTATAGCGAGTCGAAGCGACGAACGTTACTTGTTTTTTAGACTTCGTTTTCTAACAAAACGGTAGCATGTATTACATTCATATTTACTATGAAACATCTGCAATAAATGACGTATTTTCCGCATGGAAATGACTTCATAAATCTGGTTACACTTTCTGAGTAGTGTTAAAGTTTATAAAAAGAAAAACAAGCTAAGTATCTTATCAGAATGTATTGAGGTGCTCCACGAACTTAATAACATCATAATTGGATATACTAACGATTTTTCTCAAGGATCTTAGTGCTACGAAATATTAATTTACAATTGAAAGAAACTTGACATTAAATCGATTTATATTTCATTTGTATGTTTTTTTCTGAAAGTCTTTGACTTTTGCGCGTTCTTTTACATTTCAACAATTTTTAAATTCGTTATGAAATCCTGTTGATATATTTCTTATGGATGATTAAATTTCATGAAATTCTTTAATTGAACAGATGTTTTTTTTTCATATTTTGAATATGACAACATCAATTATTCGACGTTTCATTTATTTGGAAAAGATAAGCAGTTGGAACAATATTTACACTCTCACTGAAGTCTAAATCCGAAGAATATTGGTGTAAATCTGGTTTATTTTGGATAAAATACAATGAGTAAAACAGAAAGAGTGACACTAATAATAATATGAATGACAAGCAAAAGTAATTTTATTTGATTATAATATTGACTACCAGTATTTAACTGTGTAGTTGCTTCAGTATCTGGTCGCACATTTGTATTAATATTCTCCTGATTTGTATCATCTTGTCGAGCATTGTTTGTCATTGATAGTGCAAATACTGGTTTTTTATATTCAATTTTTTCACAAATAATGATGACGATGACTATCCAGGCTGTCCAAAATGAAATAGCTGTGATGAGAACAGTACGGTTCGTTTTCGCTTGAGATATCATGAGAAACATCGCTGGAATTGACAGACCAAAAATTAATAAACCAACGATACGATGACTCCAATTAAAAATAAAACGAAACCGACTATTAGGTTTACAACGATATAATGCTAACCATAGTTGTACTATACTACAACTAAAAATTGTGCCACCCAATATTGAATGAACAAATGAATCCCACTCATGTAGTTTAGGTTGCACCCATTGACCATGATTCCGAACTAGAATTAACAAGAAGCCTAGAAGAATCAATAAAGATGAGATGCTAAGAAGAAGTCGATGTATTTGAAACCAAGCAGATTTGCCAAGCAATTGTCTTCGAGTTCCAAAACGTAATGAACGTCCGTAACGTGCCATAAAAAGACCTGTAGAAGCGAAGATCATCAAGGATAAAATCATAACCATGGCATGAGCATGCGCTAAACTGAAAGCCATTGAAATACGACCACTATTATTGTTAATCTTGGATGACAATTTTTGACTTTACCTTATTTAGTTGATATATGAATAATGTCTTGATTTACTCTTAGTTGTAAGAAGGAAAAAAAAACGACCAATAGAATAAATTGAATTTTCACGTGAATGCAACGAAGAATCTCGCTTAATATCGTTTCTAAAGACATAAACATGAACGGATGTAGAATTATGAAATTGAGCGGAATCACATGCGACCTATCTGCTTGTCACTTAATTAGTGATAAAATTATGAACTTCATTTCGTTTCCGTCAATCTCTGAATAATGGATCTTTTAAAAATCTCTCATACTCCATGGAAAAAACATAATGATTCTATTTTATTTTTTTGTCCAAAAAACGAGTTTATCGAGTTTAAATAAAAGTAAAATAACCTATAATTTCTTTCATTTTCTTAAGTACTATTTTTTGATCATATAGTAATATATCAAATTATGAATGTTGTATTAGAAGTAATATTTAAACAAAGAATCTTAATACTTAACTATTACCACTAATATTAGCCGAATGCTTTGGTATTACTTAGGATTAATCAAAAATTCTGACATCGTTAAAATAAAAATATGAAGATAATGAGATATTTTCAATTCTAATTCAGCAAATGTTCACGATAGTTGTTCTGATTATTCATAGCACATTCAATCCATTCTATCAGTTTGTTAAAAGTTTTTTTTTCAATTATTTTTCAAAAAAATTTTTAGCTACCTTAGAAACCGCATGATCACATCCTGTTTTATTTAGCTAATCAGTTAAGCTACGTTCGATAGAATTCATTAGACAAAGATTATCTAGTGTCAAGTCTGACGAATATAGCGGATGTAACATTATATTGATGTCTTCATCTGCAACATAATTAATAACAGTCCATGAATATAAAGTCAACGATGGTCGTCAATCAAGTTTTTACATTTTTGACCAGACGTCTCTATTTTTTCCGTATTTCATTAACAGAAGGCTTCGGACAATGTTCAATATAATATTTATGACCTACAGTCTTGTCCTCATCTACGCTCAGTACTATTTGATCTAAAGAATATATTGAACAAAGCTTTGATTCAAATCTGTCTTCATGAACAATAGTTTTTGTCGATTTATCTTCAATAAGTCAGCTACATGGAGGACTACAAATTTTTTTTTGCCCGACTCTCCTGAAAGTCATAATTTGAGTCTGATTATTGTATTACAGTGCATAGACATATTCAGAATTATGTGCAAAAATTTAACCATTCAGATCTTATAAATCGTCGTATATTCTCATTTCTTGCAGAGTAGTTACACACCATTGTCGACAAGGGGGAAAGTGCAGGTTTGGAACCCACAGCACCTTAGCATCTTTTCAGCACCATTTTAGCACCTTGTGGTACTCAAAGTTAGTAGTGCTACGGATATACAGTTCACAATCGAGACAACTGTTTCTCAGCTATTGTAAGGACACAACGTACCGATTTTCGGGTCAAATGAAAGATGAATCCGGATAATCCCAGGATTGGTCGGGATAACTCTACGTTTTATCCTCGCAATAAAGGAAAAAAATCTGCTCACACCTGATTGATTGATCACTTTTTTCTATAGACCAATCATATTTTAGCATGGTTTTTGTCCCTATTGTAAGGACGAAACATGGGCTTGTCTGGGCAAATTCTAGAGTTACTCAGGATGGGTGTGGGTGTGGGGTGGGTGTCGTCGCCTGTTCGTTTTGTATCCACACCTACATCCACACCCACACCCACACCCACACCCACACCCTAGCTGGCTAGAAGAAAAAGAGAATATGAAGTAATGACATCTCTTATTCATAAAAAGATGAAAATATCTCTCGTCACGTGAAACATGTGCCGTATTCAAGTTACACTGATGAACAAAGTTATAATACATTTCCTATCTTCGCTTCATATCTAATTGTATTTTTATTTTCAATTTGTTCTTTATGAAAGTAATGCAGCTTATCCTATTTTTTAAAATACACAGAAAAAAATCAATAATCTATGTTTATACATCCATGTTTATTCTAGATCTATATTTGCTTTAATAGCTCCATGGATGATCATGTTCAACTCGAAGATCATCGAGATCCATCGACCGATGAATTATCTCCATCGATTATAAAAAAGTTGGATTTAGGTGATAATATAGAAGAAGATCAACAACAGCAACGACAGCCACCATCATTACAACAACAACTATCAAACGTAACTGTTTGTTCATTATTAGAAGTAGAAACTGATTCTGAAGCTATCAAATCATTGGAATTATTGTTAAACAGTGTTGTCAAGATCTTTTGGACGTCAATTCCATGCGATTTTAATTCACCATGGTAAGGCAGTTCAAGAGTCGCATTGAGTTAACATCTAATTTAGTAAGATAGTATAGCTTCATTGTTTTTATAGAGATTTGTGTCTTTTAAGAAAACTCGGACTCTTGATAGGCATGCAGCAGATCAGCTCGTTTTCTTATAGCCAACCTTCTTTTTAATGTGTTTAGGGACAACATCTGAATAAGTCTGTAGTTTTTAAAAGGCCCAATGAGGAAAGAAATCAAGTAACTGTAATTATCACTTCTATCAGGAATTGCAGTAGTCGCAAAAAGTCCCTTCCCTCCCTTCCTCCCCTCCCATTAAAATCTACCTAAACCTCAACCGTTTAGGCTCATATTTTTCCTGCAAGTAGAACTCAGTGAATCCTGATCGAAAAGTGAATCAGAACTTGATCAACTTTCATATGGAGCAGCTAGGAGACCAACATCAACTTTTTATTTTGACGAGAATATTTTAGCATAGGAATCAAATTTCATGGCGTTCGATCCCGCATTCGAGAGCTCGGTGCTATCTCTATTATCACTGAAAATTTCATATGAAACGATCTCAGTTTACTTAATTTATGAAGTAATCTTTGGGTAGTGTCGACATGAGTGTTACTGGGGGTTCGTCGAACAATGACCTATAACTATCGCTAATTTCAACCAATTGTCTTGAGATTTTTCCCCAATGAGTGCTCTCCTATATTCAAGTTTTGCCTAAAAGTTTCAAGATTATAGCTATGGATAAAGAGGAGATACAGAATGAGACCGTCTCAGACAATGGAAGCTTCTCAGCATCTCAAAAGTGGAACACACTGGAGTACCCTGTATATGACGGAATATGGACATATAGAGCTTTATATATTAATAAAAAAATGAGCGTTAATGCATTGAAATAGTCGAGAATTAGAAAAATGTTCAAAAAGTCTTGTTTGAAGCATACGAAAAAAAACTAGTGTTTTCTAACTAAATCCATTGTACTAAGTTCGATCGACGTCAGGTTGATCCTTGCAATCAAGATTCACTGAGTTTTACATGCAGGAAAAACTATGAGCTCAAACAGTTGAGGTTTAGATAGTTTTCAACCGGGAGGGGAGGGACTTTTTGCGACTACTGTATTAAGTGTATATTTTATTTAAAACATGTTGATCCAACGATTAAACTAGACTCATCTTTGCATTTAAACATAGATTATGTTTTTCACTAGCTTGGAAGAACGAAAATTGTATTCTAAACGAAAAATCTTTCAAGAAACTGTTTCTAATTTATACAGGTATCATGACACCTTGCTACGTTTCAACTAGTGGGTGGGTCGAAAGTTTGAGGCAAAATTATTGCTTATTTTCTATCCGCTTGAGATCATTTTAAAGAAATGAAAATATATGGATACGAGTGAGAATCGTGTTCTCCTTCTGAATATGAAACCAAAATTTTGCATCTATGTTTTTCAAGAGAGAAAATCTTTGAAAACCATAAAAAACATAGTCTAGAGAAAAGTATTCAATTAAAATTTTTCAACAATATTTCATTTTTGTATTTTTTTACTTTAGGCAAGTAAAACCCCAAGTTGCTAAAACTTCATCAGGGTTTATAATAAAAAATCGATGGATTCTATCAAATGCTCATGCCGTTGCAAATCAGTCGATTATTCGTATTCGAAAACATGGTAATCCTAAAAAAATACCCTGGACGTGTATTACACATTGCACATGAATGCGATCTGGTTATAATGACTGTTGATGACGATAAATTTTGGGATAAAGTAGAACCATTGACATTCAACAATGATGTACCTAGATTAGAGGAATCAATAATAGTGGTTGGTTATCCAATAGGTAAATGTAATTTACGTTGGTTTTTATATGATAATATCATTCGCATTTGTTCACAGGTGGCGATAATTTATCGGTGACAAAAGGTGCCGTTTCAAGAGTTGTTATGTCAACTTACTCGCATTCAGTTGAATATTTGTTAACAACACAAATCGATGCTGCAATAAATCCTGGTAACAGTGGTGGACCGGCTATTCAAGGTATGAAAAAAGAAAGATTTGGATGAATTAGTTCATTGTTTTCTCCCAAGAAATTTTATACTCAGGATAAACAGTGTAGACTAGTGATCAGTGTAACCACCGTGACTTATATTTTTTAAAAGTCATGACTGTGACTGTAGCCTAATCATGGAAAATCACCATAGTCAAAATAGGCACATATGTATGTGTATCTTAGTAGCATCACTTTTTTCACAACATAATTGGTTTCATACCATTTACTTATAATGATAGTTTTCTCAAATTTTCTTAATCAAAATGACTATAAATATATATTAAGAAGAAATCAGAGCCAAGTAAAAGGAAAATCATCATTACTTATCAACAATAATGAGACACGCGCGCATATTATTCTTGTATTCGTAATTCAATTATCATGGTTACTATTTTCTGAGTGATTATTACCCAAGAAAGAACCACTATTCAGATTCTTGTGTAATATATTACTATTATTATCTACTCTTTAATATTTTCGTTGTTTCATCGGTTTTGCATGCTTCTCATTCTAAGCATTCGACTCGTGAACGATAGAATTATCTTAGCATAATGCTAATACAATACAACTTACACATAACGCTTAGTTTATTTCACTAAAATACACATTCTATTATATGTTGGTTTTTAATTCAAGACCACTTTCTATTGCATAAAGTGAGTCATTGGAAGAAGCTACTGTCCACTAGTAACAGCTTTTCTCACACACAAAAAATGATTTCACAATAAGAATTTTGGAAATATTAGGAAAATGAGAATCGAAAGAAGTTGTTCCTCCAGAGCATTACCTGTGACGAATAAAGGCTCATGTTTTTTTTGTATTAGTGCCTTTAAACGATAAATGCATTAGTAACTTTTGCATTGAACCGTATTGAATCAGTTAAATACATAATTTCCACCTGGTTAGTAATCTTATGTTTTTTTTTGACTTTAGGTTTCCTGTATATACAAGAAAAGTTATTCAAAGAAAAAGATATCATGACTCGCAAAAAAGTGAAAATTATACTCGTGACTCAGGATCATGGTCACAGTTCGTATCCATCGTGATCGTGACCGTGACCATGACCCAAAAACTTGATCACGTCGGACACTAGACAACACTTTATTATTCATAAAAATGCATAAGCATTGGCGCTCTCTACTCACTAAAGCGAGCATATCTCGGTTCGAAGAGAATGAACTCTGTTCAAATTTTCAACGTTTATAGCTCTAGCTACTACGACGCTGTTTTTCTGCAAGTTTGATCTTCGACAAGGTTTTGTTATTGAGATTCGAATGTATCACTACAACTTAGGGTTTGAAATTTTGTCGAAAAATTCTAAACTTTCAAAGTTTTTTCACAATTGTAAAATTAGTTGAAAACTTCAAAATTACCACAACTTGCAGAACATTTGGTCCTCTATCCGGCTATATGTACAGCATTTTTTTATATTTTGAAATAAATGACATCGGTCATTATCTTTAACTTACATTCTGCTGTTTTCCAAAATGTCATGTTTGCGTTATAACTCAGCCGTATCAAGCTGAAACTTTTATCCTCAATGTATCTTAGTGACCCTATTAGCAGCCAAAATTTCACAGAATTTGGAGGCCTTTTTGAAAATCGCAATTGTACTTTCTAAGAGAAAACCCATCCTTTACCAAATGCTAACTTCGATGCATACAAAATGTGTATGATCTTTAAAAATTATCCCTTTTGTTTCTGTAAAAAGAAACAAACGAAAATCTGTTTTCTCTCAACTCCATTCAATAATTTCTTCGGCATAAAATCAAGCTTAAATTATGAATTGTACAATGCGTCTTTACTTGTGTTTTTGATTTGTTTTTTTGCATAGGCAAACAAGTTGTCGGTATGTCATTTCAAGGCCGAAGTGAAGCTCAATCAATTGGCTACATTATACCAGTATTAATAATCAAACACCTGTTAGATGATATTGAATTGCACAATAGATATACAGCTTTTCCTAGAATGGTCTTTCAATATCAATCAATGGAACATTCATTATATCGCAACTATTTAAAATTGAATGATGACCAACATGGTATCTTAGTAACATCGGTTGAACCTGCATGTGTTCTTAGCAAAATATTACAGAAGGATGATGTTATCATAGCTATTAATAATGTATCGATTGCTGATGACGGCACAATCTATTTCCGTCGTGGTGAAAGACTTAATTTCGGATATTTTGAAAAATAAAAATTTGTTGGTGATACAGTTATATTTACAATTATAAGACAAGGCAAGAAATATAGGATTTTTCGACTTTTAGTTTTTAGGAGGCTCGAAATAATTTCATCGTATTCTTTCGTTACCTTCTGATGCTGTCAACTGCAAGATTGTAAATAGAAACATTTGGAAAAGAGTCAATTACATTGACGACATCAGGATTATAAGAGATGAAAACCTATATGTCAGAGGAACAAAAAGATCAATGACAGTACAAAAATGCCTTTTTCTTTGAGTGTCAGTAGGTAACAAATGTAGTATCAGAAATCAGAACGCAAATTTTCTTCACTTTCTCGACGATCTTGACTTGAATATGCATGCTCTCTTTCCTTTCAGTTTCTACTCCGTCGCTGTTTTTGACACACTCAGACCATGCCATTTTTCTGGCACATCTGTATTATGACTCGTATGCATTTTTTATTGTTAAGCTTAGATGTCGATATGTAAATTTCAGTGTGAGTGCACATATGGATGTGTGGCTATGAGCTTTAGACTATCTTATAAACACACTTATCCACAACTTTCTAATTATCTAATCAATATTTTATACACATCAGTCCAATGTGATGCTTATAAAGATGAGAAATTAATAGAAAACAGTTTTAATATGGTTTTGAATCATTAATTGATCAAAAATCTTCACTAATAAGAAGGAAGACCTACAATGCTTTTATTTACTAATTTGATGAAACTATTCATATATATGTAAATCACTGACAAGTTTTTTTTTCTATGCGTCTTTTCGTTTATTATTAGCATTATCTAAACATGTATATATTTCTGCTTTTATTATTTTAACAAAATATTACCAATAAACTTTTCTGTTAGTGGTATTAGTAGTTGTTGTAATTTATTTACGTTCGAGTTTTTTTGTCCATTTCTATTGACTACGTACAGTTTCAAACGCATATCGTAACTCATCATATTGATCAATTTTATCATAGCATAAATTTATAATCGAGGTGTGAGTGTGAGTAACCAAACATTCCCACACATCCATGCTCACATTTTCTACTGAGAAAACGATCTAAATACAATGGAAACATTTTTCTTAGAGTGCTGCACAGGTGCACTTTTTTTCACCCGAAACCGGACTGGAGCTTTTTTCCATACCCTAGTCCGAACCGACCCGACAACTCGGTACCCGGACCCAAACAGGACCCGAATAACTCCACCCGGTACCCGACCGGCAGCCGTTTATAAGTATAACACACCCGGCTACTATTATCACGTACAATCAATTTCAAACTTTATTTCATATGAAAAAGTATACAATCTACTTAAATAAATAAACAACAAAAACACATCTGAAATTACGTAAAAAAAATGTGGAAAACTCGGATTTAAATCCGAGCGTTATGTGTACTTCAAAAAGTGAAAACACAGAAGCAATTTCCGTTTAAGTATTTTTGCAGTAGGTGACTTACCATCTTGTTTCTTAATGTTTTATATACCATTTTGTAGCCCGTGAAATCCTCTATCAAATGGTGTATAATAGCTGATGTTTTGCTTGATTATGAGAGAAAAAGTTTTTTTTACGAAAGTTGGGATAGGTCAATAATCGCATAGAAAAACATAGAGAAAAATGACTTTTTTTGCGATAACTCAGCAATGGCTCTACGAATCATTCTCATCTTCGAACTCGACCGAGACATTGATGAGACGTTACTGTGTACAAAATTTCATCAAGATCACACTCTCCTTTCAAAAGTTATCGTGTAAGCAGGCGTACACACTGACCGATTCTAGAGTGTACTCACTCTTTGAGTACACAATAATCCTAAGTACCTTGAATCTTGAAAAATAACAAAACAAAAACTTTCTTTTCATTTCTACGATTTATTCTTTGGCAAAAGTGATGATCTAATCTGCTTTAATTCTTATCCCAACACCTTGACAATAATAAATACCAGGTTGAAATAGTAAAAGTATTTTGAAAAGTTTAGATGTCACTAATTGCCGGTTCGGGTCCGGGTTTGGTCTTACACTTGGACCCGAACCGAAATTTCTTTTTTAACCCGACGCCCGAACCGACCCGAAAAATTTTACCCGAACCCATGGCTCGGTTCGGTTCGGTTTCGGGTACCCGACCGGGTTGCAGTACGCTAATTTTTCTTTACAATTAAATATATACTCATGGTTCATGGCAAAGATCAAATGATACAAATAAAAGAAAAAAAAAGCAATTTAAATGAAATAATTTTTACTCTCCATTGATGGTATCAGATGAGCTAAATAATTGGTTTACTGAACAACACAATGCCCACTATTTATACTGATGATAACCCATTAAACAAAGCTTTTCGTACTGTTATTTTTCGGGGTCGTCTCGCTTCGTCTCTCACATAAGTAGACCATTTTTAATTGATTCTAAATTCGTTCCTTGTATGATGACTGCTGTATAATGATCGTATCTTCATATATCGTACGATATTCTCTTTTTTCTCTCTTATGCATCGCATAATTTTAATTCTTCCTTCTGTCGTACGACTTTTTTATGTTTTATTTTCATTAGTTCAATTAATTATAGTTGACCAGGGTAATTCGAATGATTCCAACAATTTTAGCTGGAGAGAAGTTACAAAACCTGAGTAAAATAAGTAAAAACTTAATTGACTCGACCGAATACCGTTGAAAATAGGAAAACAAAAAAAGAACATTTTTTTCAACTGACCCTTCTCATCTTTAAATTGATACTGCATTTTAACAAGACATTTCACGAGAAAAAAAGTTTAACTTTTCTGATACGAAAATGTTACTGCTACAAAGCGATGAAAAAGTAAAAATCATATGATTAATCCTTAAGAAGATAAATGGCTATTAATCGAAATCGAGTTACATTTCAATATCTCTAAATGTTGGATTTCATTAATTTTTCAAGTATAATACGAAATTATTACATAATAATAAGAGTTCATCAAAAAGTTATTAACAACCAGTCAAATAATATGGAAAGTATTGAGATTTCCTAAATGCAAGCCTAGATGTGTTATCAGCCCACAAGAGTTCCAATGCGTTTTTCTGAATGATATTCAGGTCAAGCAAGCGTAGTCGTAAACGATCGTATGCGGAAAATTAGAAATGTGTAAGGTCGTTTACAAGAGTATACAGACTCCGTATTCGTCGAACTGGATATTTACGAAAAAAGCAGCTTGTTAGTATATTCACTGTCAGACTGAAATGTGAAAATCGTGTATGTTGTCAAGCATTGTGAACCTTATACGAACGATGTGAAATGAAAAAGCTCTTGTAGACTACTACTCTTTTTCAGATTAATCGACCAGCAAAATAAGAACCTTTTTAATTTCACCATTTCGAATTGAAGCTTTTTTTTTCTAGGAATGCTCTATTTTTTGTTTGCACTCATATCATATAGTGTTGGTTGCGTATGGGCATGTAAATGCGTGCATCTTAATGTATTTAATGCTGCGAGTCCATGAAGTTTTGTTTATTCTACTGTTCTGTTCGACTGATTCATTTCAATAAGTTAATATTGTATTGCAAGAATTTACGAAACAATATAGGCGCCTAATATCAAGAAACAAATAAAAGAGTCACTACAATTTTTCGAACAAGTCGAGTTCCTTGTGTCACACTTAGCTCCGCTTGACACATATCTTAAGAAAGTCTAACTCGACACATTTTCGCTCTTTGTTGTAAATCATTGATTTAGATTCAGAGAATAATCATATTGCTTATAGAAATTTGTAAAGTGTTTAAACATCACATGAATTTGATTGTTTCACTGCCAGAAGTGACATCATTAAGTCGTATTCATGTTCATTCATATGATTCCAAACAAAAACATCAGTTTGATCCTGTTTACAAAAAGCTCCTGCATGTTGATAAGCTTTTTCCATTTTTCTCCTACTACTTTATTTGAAATTATATACATCAAATAAACCTAAAATTGATATTGTTCTGTATTTTTGATTCATAGCAGTTCTCAATAAAAAAAATACAATTATCTAAGAATAATTCGATGACTGCAAGTGACAACAAAGCAAAATTAGACGCAAAGGAAATGCATGTTTCATAAATTCAACAAATGTTTACCTACATGCACTTTAAAAGCTATCATCAACAGTGTGAATCATTTCATTTCTCAGACACCAGTATAATGATTTTAAATTTGAATAATCGAAACAATTTAAACTGTAGTTTACTCAAGAATATTTCAAGTAAAAGATTGAACGAACACCTTTCTCTTTCAATAAAACTCAATATATTTCTTTTCTAACAACCTAAGTTGATGTCAGAAAGGAGAAAAAACAGTTGCAAGCCCTATTATTGTTGCAACATGGACGTAAAGATTATGTAAAATCGATGTGTAGATTGAAAAAAAAAATGTTTTGTTAACGATGGAAGAAAAAAAAAACTATTACCATCAAACGAAAACGAAGTAAAAATCAGTTTTTCTTTATCACATAGTAAAATTGAACACATTTCCAAATGACGGCAATAGTTGGTACAAACACTAATGATATTGTGGATCTTAATATTTATATGATTCCGAAAACATTTCGTGATCCGGTTCTTGCAAAAGATTGTTATATTTATGAACGAGAAAAAATTTCTGATTGGATTCAAAAGCACCATATCAGTCCATTTACCGGACAACGATTATCTGTTTCTGATTTACAACCTGATAATCGTTTGCAACGTTTAGCTGCACAACAGCAAGATGAAGAAGCATACGAAAATTTTGGAGAGATGATGATCCCTTGTGTTTCTCCTGCAACATCACTCATAGAAGATAATTCATCTGAAGGTAGTCCAGGACCTTCGCCGCCTTGTAGAACTAGTTTCATTCTTATTATTTGCTTGTCAATTTGTCTAATCGTTTTTATTCTCGGAATTACAGTAGTTGGATTTAAATTTTATTTAGCAGGTAATTCGAATTACATTATACGTATGTGTTAAAGAATAATTTATACTGAACTAGTTACATCTCAAAATTTTATAATTTG